TCCCCATATAGCCTTAACAGACTGTTGGGGCAAGTGCTGTTAGCGAGCACCTATGAGAGGGTAGGTGGCCAGCACCACGCCCAGATGCCTTTGTCTCCCCATTGGGGGAGGCGTCACGCGATTTTGGACGATTTTAGACCCCCCCCCAAGTCACACGGCGTCACAAAAAGTCAGACCCCCTCAAATATGACGTCACAAAGCTCTGCCCCCCCCCCCAAAAAAAAACACATGCTTCAAATCTCTCTAAACTATTGTCATTGTAGTGCGTATTTAATGTGCCGCTGCACTCTGAGGTTGTCATCACAAGTTCGACCTCCCTAATCGAACCACCTAAACGTCCCTCCCTAAATCCTTCTGCTGCAAGACCCCCTAGGTTCTATGGTCTCCCCAAGATTCATAAAGAAGGCACCCCACTACGACCCATCGTATCCACGATCAACTCCCCTACCTATAGACTAGCACGTTTTCTGTCAGATACCTTGCTGCCTTTCACTGGCAAGACCGCCTCAGCAGTACTCAACTCAGCCCAATTGGTCTCTATGGTCAAAGGCGTTGTACTGTCCCCCGACGATATCCTTGTCAGCTTCGATGTGGTCTCTCTGTTCACCAAGGTCCCAGTACCTGATACCGTTGAAATAATTGAAAATTTGGTACAACATGGACTAGACCCCGATACACCTGCGCTGGTTAGACACTGCCTCACCAATACCTACTTTACTTGGAATGGCACCTTCTACAAACAAAATGAGGGTGCCCCCATGGGTTCTCTCTTATCACCAGTGATAGCCAATGTTTTCATGGAGAAATTTGAATCAAACGCCATCCAGACTTTCACCCTCAGACCTTCCCTGTGGAAGAGATATGTAGACGACACTTCCGTCATTTGGCCACATGGCCTCCCAGCTTTGAGCCTCTTCCTACACCACATCAATTCCAGACATCTCACCATCAAATTCACCATGTAAGTGGAGAAAGATGGCAAGTTGCCGTTCTTGGATGTTCTGTTTGAGAGGAGACCTGATGGCTCATTTGGGACATTCTATTTACAGGAAACCCACCCACACAGATTCCTATTTGAAACCTGATTCCCACCACCACCCGACTCGAAAGAATTCTCTCATCAAAACGTTATACCACAGGGCTCATTGCATTTCGGACCAACACCACCTGGCCAGTGAATTAAAACACGTACATCTGGCCCTCAAGAGAAACGGATACTCTGACCGTACCATCCGCCAAGCTGTTTCTCCCTCCATACAGAAACAACCACTTGATACTCCGGTCAAAACCATCACACTACCATATATAGCAGGCGTTACTAAAAAGATCTCCAAAATTCTAAACAAACACAAGATCCTGGTCCGGTTCAATACAGTACACAAAATCCGTGACCTGATCCCATCCGTGAAGGATGTCATTCCTGATTTACAGTACCCCGGGGTTTACAAATTGAGCTGCACTTGTGGTGATTGCTATATCGGGGAGACGAAACGACATGTCTCTGACCGAATTCGCGAGCACAAATCAGATTTGAAACACGGCAGAACGAATTCTTCTGCCGTAGCTGATCATTGTTTCAACGCTGTGGGTGATCACGATATAATTTTCTCCGATACCAATGTCCTTTGCAAACCGACAGGTTACCATCAGAGATTTGTCCACGAGGCAATTCAGATTTACAAACAGACACAATTTCAACCGAGAAGATGGTTTCAAATTAAGCAACCATTGAAAAGATGTTCTAAATCGAACCAAACATTAAACTAATTTCAATGGTACCGTATATTTATTTCAAATAGTGGCACTCCAAACTTCCAAGGTCGTGATTTTTGTTGTTTATGTTTTACCTACGTGACTTTACCTAATAGAACCAATGAGTATGGATCCTTGCAGGCACGAAAGCTTCAAATCTAAATTTCAGTGGTACAGTATATTTATTCTAGTAGTGGTATTCCAAACTCCCAGGGTGGTGTATTTTCATCTTGTGCTAATTCCAAGCTTTGCCAGTGGTGCGTTTCATGCTAATTTCCTTTGTCAGGGCGTTTGCTGTTTGCCCCCTCACAGCTTAAAGGGAGGCGACCAGCAGCTTGGCTTTCTTCACTCCAACGCTGTCCGCTGGACAGGTTGGTCCCTTCACCTGATGAAGGCCGCTTGTGTTGTGGCCGAAACGTCGTGAGTTTTATTAATTTATTTCTTACCTACGTGACTTTACCGAATAGAACCAAAGAGTATGGATCCTTGCAGTCACGAAAGCTTCAAATCTAGAATAAAAAAAATATGTTTAATTAAGCAGAACGTGTTGTCTATATTTATTTAAAGTTGCGCATTTTTATGTGACGTCACATTTCTCAAACCCAATTTTATTCGCAAAACGAGCACAACAATACTGTTCGCGCACTGAGCGGAGACCGGTCGAGCAAACGCGCCCCGTGTCGGCAGAGGGCGCAGCACGTCTCGCAGCTGTTAGCCGAGACAGCTGCTCCGTGCTGCGTTCAGCGCCTGATTGGGGGGCGAGATGCGGAGGAGGGGCGGGTGGGTGGCAGGCGGGTGGAGGGGCCTGGTGGTGGCACGATACCATTGGGGGTGGATGTGGTGGGGAGGAGCGGTGGCGCAAAGGTTAGCGCCGCGGTGCTACGGACCCGGCGACAAGAGTTCGATTCCCGCTCACGGCTACCAAACACGAGTAACGATTACCTGAACCGGTCCTGGGTCACCCCTAGATCGACTCAGCCTCAAATGAGTACCTGGTGCGGTGTGTAAAAACATCGCCACTGAAGAGACAAAGGCGGTCGGGCGTGGTGCTGGCCACCCACTCCCTCGTGTACCGTACGGGCCTTCCAAGGTACTCGCTAACAGCACTTGGCCCAACAGGCTTGTTAAGGCTATACGGGGGATCTTTGCCTTTGGGAAGGGGAAGGTGTGTGTGTGTGAATGTACAAGAGACGGAGAGAGCTATGTGATTTGAGTGGAGAATGAGTGAGTGATTTCAAATATGTGGCTGTAAGGAGGTGATATCACAGAAAGCCGTCCCTTGGTGTGGACCAATCAGTTTCAAGGACAATGCCAATATATTATCATAGTATATTTTTTGTTTGCATTTTGACTGCAGGTATTGTGGTTAATGCAGTAACATGAATCTTTGTAAAAAAGGTTTCAGTTTTGTTGCCAGAAAAGGGGAAAAAAACCCTATTATTACAATGTAATACTATTAGACATTATTGTGAAAAATAAATAAAAAGTCCATCCCATGTGTTAGTGAACTTTTTGATATTTTAGGCATGAAATTTGTTTTAAAATTTGGATTTTTTTCTGGGGGGAGGGATCCCCAGACCCCCTGGTAGATTTGGTCCCTCCCAATGTTGACTCCATGGCTACTGCCCTGCGTTTTATTACTTACATTTTTATTTAACACGTAGGCTTTCGCGACCAATATTATTCATAATAAAGGTTTTTGGGTTAGATCGCGTTTATTTATAAATGTGTCGTAACCCTCCACCTCCCGACACGGCCAATCAGCAAAAAAAGTGTCACGTTGACAAAAGACAAATAATTCACTACTTCAGCCCACCGGTGTGTTGAAGAGTTAATCCACATTTACAGTTTGAGTACGACGTTTCGCTGGTACTCAAACTGTAAATGTGGATTAACTCTTCAACACACCGGTGGGCTGAAGTAGTGAATTATTTGTCTTTTGTCAACGTGACACTTTTTTTGCTGATTGGCCGTGTCGGGTGGTGGAGGGTTACGACACATTTATAAATAAACGCGATCTAACCCAAAAACCTTTATTATGAATTACATTTTTATTATTATACAGTTATTTGTATTTCTCACATTCAAAATAAAGTTGTTCAGAAGTGGAACGTTTTGGGGCTGAATCCTCGATCTCAGCTTTTAACACGGGGGGAGCGAGTCAATGGGAAAACGGCGATCGTGTAACGAGCGTTCACTTGCTAAGCAATTTTTCGCGGAACACATCTCGCTCGCTAAGCGAGACGCGCCTGTGCACGAGACGCACAGACCCCCAACTCACCCCTACGACTCACACGCACGCTCACCGTCCACAAAGACAAAGATCCCCCGCATAGCCGTTAGGGCAAGTGCCGTTAGTGGGTAGCAGCACCTATGAAGGCCGGCACGGCACACGAGGGAGTGGGTGGCCAGCACCACGCCCGACCGCCTTTGTCTCTCCAGTGGCGATGTTTTTTACACACCACACCAGGTACTTATTTGAGGCTGAGTCGACCTAGGGGTGACCCAGGACCGGTTCAGATAATCATCATTGGTGTTTGTGTTCGTGAACGGGAATCGAACTCGGGTGGCCGGGTTCGTAGTGCAGCGTGCTAACCACTGCACTGCCACTCTCCACAAAGACAAATATTCCCCGTGTAGCCTTAACAGACTGTTGGGGCAAGTGCTGTTAGCGAGCACCTGTGGCGATGTTTACACGCCACACCAGTTACTCATTTGAGGCTGAGTCGACCTAGGAGATGCCCAGGACCGGTTCAGATTATTCGTCACTGGCTGTTGCATATGAGCGGCGATCTAACAGTCATCTGAACCCAGACTGGGTAACCCACTCACACGCATTCCTAGCACTGTAACAGCTGTTGGGCTCAATCCAGACACTGAACAGCTGAGATCAGCTTCACACACACGCGCAAAATAATCCCTCGCTTAACACACACACACGACTCTTCAAACAACTAAAGAAACAAGCTAACTTCTCAAACTAAGACCTCATTTAAATCATACCAATAATCCTCGTGATTATGTATTCGCGAACATCAACTTAACCAAACGGCTATTATATATTAAAAAAATAACGTAAGTATATTTAATTATTTTATTACTTTTTTACATTGTTGGGGGCGGGGGGGGGGCCCGGGCGGAGGGTAACATCCCCGAGCTCGCCTGGGAATGTGCAATTTGGCCCGGGCGTGTCCGGGCCGCATCACGCCGCGTAGGGATCCGGGGCCGGTGGCTATATAAGGGAGAGCCGGCACAGTCGCAGCGGCGAGAGGCTGTGACTTTGGCACCGTTGAGATTTTAAGTTTGTGGTCGACGTTCCGAGCCCCGAGGCTGAATCATGCGTGAAATTGTGCATATTCAAGCCGGGCAATGCGGCAATCAAATCGGTTCCAAGGTAAGCCACGTTCATTCAGTTTCACCAAAGTGTGTATACTGGGGGAATCCGATGAGCTATAAAGCTCTTTTTTGTCACATGTTCCTAGTAGTATTATAACAATTTAATGTTGGTGTAATCAGGTAAAACATCGACTAGCCTGACTGGGAGGTGGGTCTAAGGGTGCTGGTCTGGCTCGCTGAAAGTCGGGCCTTGCTGATAAAATACAACGAAATCGACGTGGGTTTAACTTCGTTGGGTTTCAACTCAATTCTGTCCCATGTGTGTAGCTGTTTAAACCTCACCCCAGCGGTTGTGTTCGCGTTGGGCACTTTAGGGGCGTTGTGGCACACGTGATGCGAACCCCTTGGGGTCCATTCACGATGCACCCCCACGGAAGCGGACAACGCAGAGCTACCTCGGATCCCTTCCAGCGACCTTCATTAGCATCCTGCCTGCCATACGACAGCCAGGGACCGCAACGACCGATTTCAACATGGGGAGCTATGCAAGATCCGACTGTGCCCCCTCTTTTCTCCCGTCTCACTTTTACTGAAATAGTTACGGATAGTGTTATTTTAATCCGTATACTGTGCAATAATGTGTAGGCTTTAACGTGTGTGTATATATTATTGTAGTTGCACCGTGTATTGGGTTTAAAAGAAGACGGTTATCACAGTGACACTATTAGATGTACAATATTCACAAATTAAGATATTGTGCTGCCTCTCGCGTTTATGCCGCATGTCTGTTAGCAAAGCAATCCTGGTGGTGTTCAGTGACACCTTCGGTAGCGGCAAATGTTTTACGCTGTGTGTGTATTTTGGAAATATTGTTTCATTACTTGTTTATCTTGTTGATTCAGAGGTGCCCCTTTGTGGTCGACTCTCTATGCGTCGCATAACGCCACCACATACTCCCCCACCCCTCTATAGTAGCGCCCCTGGGTCACGCATAGCGGTTAAATCGGTATATTTTTTTATCCTATGGAATTTGTCCATTAAAAGCGCAGTGCCAGATTTTTAACGTGATCGTGGTTTTTGTGACCAGACCACGGGCATGAACTGGCTATAATTAATTTTAGAACCAACCCGGTTATCACAACTCAATCTATGGATCTCCGTGTGATACATTCAGTGTATTTATATGACACGGATGGTGATCCCCCGGTTAAGAGAGTTGCCCCAGCCATTGTACAAAGGACGGTTCCCTGTTGCTGTATGAACACGGCAGTAACAAATCAAAAGTCGTCAACATTGCAGAGGACGACTCGAGCAGGGAGGGATCACTAAGGACGTTGCACATCTTAACAAACGAGGAATTTCACGGTCAATAAACGAAAGTTCAAACATCTGGGAGCAAGAGTTGCCTGGGAAAAAAGGTATAGGAACAGGTATGGTGAGGGTTGATCTTTTTTAATTAATATGGTAGAGAGGAGTTTGGCTCCATTTTCTTTCCCATGCAATGCCCTCTATTATAGGGCACCAATGCGGACTTCTAAACGTACTTTGACAGAAAGATGACCAATAACTCGATGCAGAATACAAAGAATCTTAAGATTTGCAATTTGTTAGCGATGCCTTGGTTCATTATGCACTATTTACGCACTGTGCACAAGGACAACAACCAAGTACAGTACATCCATAATAGAGGCTTCTTGGGTTAGAGCGCCTAAATATATGAATGTGTCGTTAAAACCCGCCACCACCCGACAGCCAACTAGTGATATTGGTCGCGAAAGCCTCCGTGCTAAACCAAGTACAACCGACTCTTAATACTCGACACAGCGCTCCCCCCGAACAACAATTACGGAACACCAAGTATAACCGAATCTTCAAAAACTCTTAACTCGAACGCATCCCACATAGTGCCTCTTGCATGTAGACAAGAGCAGAACCACCGTGGCGACACGACAGTTACAGAACAAAAAAACATGGCAACTGTTTGTGCCAACCCTCGCGCACGATCCACTCTTGGGCGACGAAACAGCGCAGCAGAAGTCCAGGGTACAAAACCGGAGTCTCGGACTTTGCCGAGATCTTCAACAGCACCCTGGGCAACTCAACGCAGTTGCAGTCTCGGAACTTGGTTTGGCGCTATCAACAGCACTTCGGACAAGTCTTTGCAGTCTTTTGGGGCTTGGTTGTGTAGCTTCCAAAGAGTGTTCTGAGCGATTCACCGGGCGTCTCGGCTCCCGGTTCGCACTTGCTACAGCACTTTACGGCGACTCTGCAACAGCCGTCCCGGGCACCGACTCGCCCACCACCCGCAGCACCGCACACAGCGACTCCGCTCACCAGCAGCGCGCTGTGCACCAGCTAGCCCACACAACTGCAGAACCGCCCACAATAACATCGGCGTCCCGCAGCAACTGGCCCCCCTGCGGGAGCCCCCCGCCCCCTCTTGGCCCTGGTGAACGCAAACCACGACAGCCGGCCCCTCGCGGGAGCCCCCCCCCTAGGCCCCCGGTGAATGCCAAGCGCCCCCGGGGAACGCCGCGCCTACCGCCTCTTTCGTCTGCGGTTAGCACGCACCTAAATGCCCAAATTCAATCCCGCCCTGGCAGCCTCTCTCTCTCTGCCCTCCCCAGCAGCCAAATCAGCTGCTGGGGAGGGCATCGGTCTCTCGTCCCTCAGCCCCTGTCAAATGAACTTTGCACGTGCAGTGTCCTCCAATCGGGACCTCGTAAATTCATTATAAACCAGATTTTTGTTGTCAACACTTGCCATCAATCACGCACAGCCCCGTCAACTGCCCCTCGCCCCACGTCAGCTGGCCTGCCTTGACTGGCCAATTCGTCTTCTTTGGTTCTTTCGGTAAAGTCACGTAGAATGAGAATAAAATAATAAATTGATAAAATAAAATAACAATAATATTCTCACGACGTTTCGGCCACAACACAAGCGGCCTTCATCATTTTTTTCACTCCAGCGCTGTCCTACCAGACAGTCTCGTCCCTTCACCTGATGAAGGCCGCTTGTGTTGTGGCCGAAACGTCGTGAGAATATTATTGTGTTATTTTATTTTATCAATTTATTATTTTATTCTCATTCTACGTGACTTTACCGAAAGAACCAAAGAAGATGAATCATTGCAGTCACGAAAGCTTTAAATCGAAATTTGGCCAATTCGTGTCACACCCCCAATCCAGACCGGACTTAGCAGTGCATTGACTTCCGGAGATGGGGGATTTCCCCCCCATAACCGTGCACCCCCCCCCCTTACCTCATGTATCCCCAATCATCTGAGCTCACCCCGGCACTCGTTTACACCGTTACAAGGTGCAAGTACTCTATGCTGTTGCGTGCTTTTGGTTTAGTGGGAAAGCTGCATTCGAGTATACCAGAAACGCAGAGTAGCAACGCGAAAATTCTTTATACCAACGTTTTAGCAAATGGAATTGTATTTATATAGGAAGATGGAGACACTTCTGAGGCTATGGTGGAGGGGGGAGGTAATTAGCAGATTTGTTATAAACTATATATGTATATCCTTAGTTCTTTCGGTAAAGTCACGTTGAAGGGAAACAACAAAATAATACAATATATTTAAAACAATAACACAAACGGTCGTCTTCAGGTGTGTGCAAACCGACACACCTGAAGACAACCGTTTGTGTTATGGTCGAAACGTCGTGAGAATTTTTATTGTTTTATATATATTTTATTGTTTCCCTTCAACGTGACTTTACCGAAAGAACTTAGAATATGAATTACTGCAGTCACGAAAGCTTTAAATCAAAACTATGTATTTTACCAGGTAATGACCACTGAGTTGCATAGCTCTTTTTCAGAAGCGATATGGACGCAAATGATAGTTCAACGAAGTGGCTTATCACGTGGACATTTATTGCAGTCAAATACTCTAAAACACGTTTCCACATGTGGAGAGAAAAAGCGGAGGACCTGGAAAAAATTCCACATGACCACAGGAAGAGAGACGCAAACTCCAAATATACAGCAGGCGTCCGGGTCGGGATTGAACCCACGACCTCTTGTTTATCAGGCAAGGTAGTTAACATCTCCTAGCCACCGCAGTGCCCAGGACCTTTAGGGTGAAGACAGTGCAGTGATGGTCTCTCCGGATATCCAGTGGGGGCACAGAGTGGAGTTGATGTACAAGTTACAGTGATGGATTCTGTCGGGGACGTCAATGGAGAAACGGACAGCAGAATGGAACGAGAGATGTTCTAAGGTAGATTCAGAAGCTGCTCGGTAGATGTCCCAATACTCAAATATGGGCAGGATTGTGGCTTTAACTACAGGTGGCCTCCGACTTGTGATGGCTCGACTTGTGACCCCCCCCTCCCCCCCACTTTTACGGCCTTAATCAGTAAGACCCCCACAGTAATGACCAAAACTCCTATCTACGACCGCCTAATGCCAGCTACCGACGCCGAGTCGTTTGGCGACGAGTGTGCGCATGTCATGCTCAGTGCAGTGGATAGTCGTGTAGTGTATAGTGTAGTTAAGAGCTCTCCTTTTGCCGTCCTCTGGTTTAACTGTTTGAGACAAGGCTCTAAAGAACGCCGTCTCTGGTGTGGACCAGTCAGTTTCAAAGACAATGCATCATCATACACTACCAGAGCATGTTTTTTGTTTTCATGTTCACAAGTATATGTACGGTAGTTATTGCAGACATGAGTCCTTGCAAAAGATTTCAGTTTTTTTTTACATCTTAACACAACTGTTTTATTGCCATTATTATATTATAATTGGAGTTATTAGACATCTGCACACTACCCTGTAGATCGGTGGTTATTCGCAACCATTTTTGGCGACTGTTGAATCTTGTTTCAACCGAGTACCCCCCTTGCCTGACCCAACATGGATCCGAGAAATAAATGCATGAATAATGAACATTAGTATTTTAACCAATTGTCTGTTTTGTGAGGTATCCTGATTATCTGGTGACTGCGAGCGAATCAAAAATTAAACGGACGTATGACGCAATTTGTTTGCGCTTGATGGCTACTCTTGTAAACCACATTGTTTACGATCAATGAGATTAGAAAAGGTATTTGATATCGTTCTAGGTTACCTTATGGATTTACATGTTATTGGAGTTATTTTATATTGACAGATTCGTACGTGATTATTCCGCAATGACGTTCTCATGTCCGATATAATTTCACACATTTATAATCACCTCACGGTACCCCCTTGGGACATTGCCACGTACCCCCAAGGGCCTGCGTACCCCCGCTTGAGAACCACCGCTGCTGCTGTTGGTTTCCAACATGTGGTCCGCGGTCCTTGGTGGTTTGCGAGGCTACTAACAGCGGGCCCGTGGAAAAGATTAAACAATAATGATATCATCCTCCCCAAGGAAATGTACAATTTCAAATGACTACGCGTAGTAGTAGTAGTAGCATGTGTTGGTGCCCGAAATGTTCGGAGGTTGAAAATGGGTGTGCAAACTAAAAGGTTGCGGACTGCTGTTCTCGAGAGCTCCTCTAGAGAAGGGAACTTATGGGCCTTGACCAAAGTCATCAGGAATGCGGCCAATCTTGGAAGCCAAGCAGGATGGTAAAACCCTGCATAGTGCTTGGATGGGCGAGCGCCTGGCATGGCGGGAGCGATAGGCTGCTGCTGCTGCTGCTTTGGGACCACGTTGTAGGCAGTGCAGCAAAATTACATTTACTCCTACCCCCTTCTGTGTTTCCCACCTTGACCAACCCATCGGGACGTTATGGCCAAAAAACACCCCACGCAACATGGGGGGGAGGGGCGGGTCTCGTCATCCAGCAGTGGAGTAACACAACTATACTTATTACAATGTTAAAGGGCAGGCGAGGTTGATATTGGCTTTGTCAATGTCTATGGGAGTACGGGTTCAAGGGCACCACGGTGGCTAGGAGATGTTCACTTCCTCGTCTGGTATACAGGAGGTCGTGGGTTTGATCACAACCCTGGCACCTGCTGCATATTTGGAGTGTGCTTGTCTCTCCGTGGTCGCGTGGATTTTTCTCCGGATCCTCCAGTTTTTCCTTCCACATTTAGAATCAACGTGCGTTTAGAGTATTTGCCCATTAGAAATTTCCGCATAAGCCACTTCGTTGAGGTATCATTTGTGACGACCAGGTTGCTTTTCGAAAACGTGCTATACACCTCAGTGAGCCTTACTTGGTAAAAGAAAAAAAAATGTTTATAGTTTTTTTATAGTAAGTTATAAGCCCCAGAGTTTGGGTGCCTCACTCACACTTGAGTTGATGCGATTTGGTCTGACCAGAGCGGCTTTACTGAACTCAATCAACGGGGAGGCAGTACAGCAGGTGACACGACTGGCAGCAAGAAGGGGGGCCTGAGTTCGATTCCCAACTCGCGCACCTTTCTCTGTGGAGTTTGTATCTCCCTCCTCACCCCCTGTTTTGCGTGAGCTTCATCTGGGTTCTCCAGGTTGCTGCTCAACTAAACAAACACGCACATGCGATGTAACTCGTATCGGCCAAACATCCCACTACTGAATGATTCCCTGCAAATTACTTCATTGGGATCACACACACGCAGCAGCAAAATCGCCACCGCTACTCTGGAAACTTGGCAGGACCCTGCTGAAAAAAGAGTTGAGACTAGGACAGGCTGTCCTGGAATAAATAGACGGCATTATTAGTTTTAATTTTTGATTTAAAGCTTTCGTGACTGCAGGGATTGATATTCTTGGTTCTTTCGGTAAAGTCACGTAGAAGGGAAACAATAAAATAATAAAAATATAAAACATTAGTCTCATTACCATTCATCTCACAAACTATGCCGTTGTCTCGTCTTGTTAATGCACGTGTTTTAATCTGTAGATATATTTAAAAACTCATTCTTCACAATATTTGGTGTTGTGATTGATTATATACGGAACTAAACATTCGGTTTAAATAGACACAACGTTTTGTTTCTGCGGATGGGAAAAGGGAATTAATTCATGGGTTCGTCTGTCCTGAGCTCATTGATGTGGCCTGGTAGCAGTGCGTTCGTCATTGCAGAGATGTTAACTACCTTGCCTGGTATAAAGGAGGTCGTAGGTCTGATCCTAATCCTAACGATGCCTGCTGTTTATATGGAGAGTGTACGTTCTCCCTGTGGTCACGTGGTTTTTCTCCGGATCCTCCAGGTTTCTCTCTGTTTAGAATCGACATCACACGATTAGAGTATTTGCCTGCTATGAATTTCCACATGATGATAAGCCCACTACATTGTGCTATAATTTGTGGCCAGGTTGCTTCTGAATAAAGAGCTATATCGCTCAGTGGGCCTTACCTGGCAAAATACAATATAATAGCTTAGCATGGTTTTGATTTATGGTCCACATCTGGCAGGCTGCCCTGGTTAAAGCTGCCGGGTGTATTAACCTAAAGAGTAAATGCATTGCAATGGACATTAAAGATCCCCTGATGTCGCAATGAGGAAGCCATTTTGCCAGCGTCAGGGTCCAAATTTGGTGAAGTTTAAAAAAGAAAATGCACTGCAGATTACTTGGCTGAGATTATAAATGGCAGCATTATTGCACCGACTGTGAAAGTACTACACACCGTGTTTTTAAAACATAGTGCCTTCTTCCTTCGTGATAGCCTTCACTATAACAATTAGAAACGAAAATAAAAATTGTATTTTACTAGGTAAGGCCCACTGAGTTGTATTGCTTTTTTCAGATGTGAACTTTCCACAAATGATAGCCCTAATGAAGTTGCTTATCACTTGTAAATATATACAGTGAGGGAAAAAAGTATTTGATCCCCTGCTGATTTTGTACGTTTGCTCACTGACAAAGAAATGATCAGTCTATAATTTTAATGGTAGGTTTATTTGAACAGTGAGAGACAGAATAGCAACAAACAAATGCAGAAAAACGCATGTCAAAAATGTTATAAATTGATTTGCATTTTAATGAGGGAAATAAGTATTTGACCCCTCTGCAAAACATGACTTAGTACTTGGTGGCAAAAACCCTTTTTGGCAATCACAGAGGTCAGACGTTTCTTATAGTTGGCCACCAGGTTTGCACACATCTCAGGAGGGATTTTGTCCCACTACTCTTTGCAGATCTTCTCCAAGTCATTAAGATTTCGAGGCTGACGTTTGGCAACTCGAACTTTCAGCTCCCTCCACAGATTTTCTATGGGATTAAGGTCTTGAGACTGGCTAGGCCACTCCAGGATCTTAATGTGCTTCTTCTTGAGCCACTCCTTTGTTGCCTTGGCCGTGTGTTTTGGGTCATTGTCATGCTGGAATACCCATCCACGACCCATTTTCAATGCCCTGGCTGAGGGAAGGAGGTTCTCACCCAATATTTGACGGTACATGGCCCCGTCCATCGTCCCTTTGATGCGGTGAAGTTGTCCTGTCCCCTTAGCAGAAAAACACCCCCAAAGCATTATGTTTCCACCTCCATGTTTGACGGTGGGGATGGTGTTCTTGGGGTCATAGGCAGCATTCCTCCTCCTCCAAACACGACGAGTTGAGTTGATACCAAAGAGCTCCATTTTGGTCTCATCTGACCACAACACTTTCACCGAGTTGTCCTATGAATCATTCAGATGTTCATTGGCAAACTTCAGACGGGCATGTATATGTGCTTTCTTGAGCAGGGGGACCTTGCGGGCGCTGTAGGATTTCAGTCCTTCACGGCGTAGTGTGTTACCAATTGTTTTCTTGGTGACTATGGTCCCAGCTGCCTTGAGATCATTGACAAGATCCTCCCGTGTAGTTCTGGGCTGATTCCTCACCGTTCTCATGATCATTGCAACTCCACGAGGTGAGATCTTGCATGGAGCCCCAGGCCGAGGGAGATGGACAGTTGTTTTGTGTCTCTTACGTTTGCGAATAATTGCACCAACTGTTGTCACCTTCTCACCAAGCTTCTTGGCAATGGTCTTGTAGCCCATTCAAGCCTTGTGTAGGTCTACAATCTTGTCCCTGACATCCTTGGAGAGCTCTTTGGTCTTGGCCATGGTGGAGAGTTTGGAATCTGATTGATTGATTGCTTCTGTGGACAGGTGTCTTTTATACAGGTAACAAGCTGAGATTAGGAGCACTCCCTTTAAGAGTGTGCTCCTAATCTCAGCTCGTACCTGTATAAAAGACACCTGGGAGCCAGAAATCTTTCTGATTGAGAGAGGGTCAAATACTTATTTCCCTCATTAAAATGCAAATCAATTTATAACATTTTTGACATGCGTTTTTCTGTATTTTGTTGTTGTTATTCTGTCTCTAACTGTTCAAATAAACCTACCATTAAAATTATAGACTGATAATTTCTTTGTTAGTGGGCAAGTGTACAAAATCAGCAGGGGATCAAATACTTTTTTCCCTCACTGTAGCAGCCAAATACTCTCAATGCACATTGATTCTAAATATGGAGGGAAAAACCAGAGGACCCGGAGAAAAATTCACATGACCACGGGGAGAACCATACACACTCCAAATCTACAGGTGTTAGGGTTGGGATTGAACCCACGACCGCCTGCATAATACCAGTTGAGGTAGTTAACATCACGAGATCCTAGCGCCCGTTGCCAATGACACGCAATAGACCCTTATGCTCACAGACACTCCCCCCGTCTCCCCATATATATCTCTCTCTTCTTGTCTCCATGTTTGTGTGCCTGTGTCTCCCCCCACACGTCTCAGTTCTGGGAGGTGATCAGTGAGGAGCATGGGATCGACCCCACGGGCGATTATGCGGGAGACTCGGACACGCAGCTAGAGCGGATCAACGTCTACTACAACGAGGCATCTGGTGAGAGGCGCTGGGGATAGCAAACGGTGATAGGCAACGGTGATAGGCAACGGTGATAGGCATGAAGACAAGGAATCATTAAAGACTTCAATTAAACACTTTGACAGATATTACCATTACTGACTTTATCAATGAAAAAATGACCCTGGCGGGAGGTGGTAGAATCTCCTCTCCTACCATGCCGTGCTCACGTCACTGCTGCACCATCCCCACCCACCCTCACCACCCCCACCCCCCTCCGGGCTCCGTACAGGAGGGAAGTACGTGCCGCGGGCGATCATGGTGGATCTGGAGCCCGGCACAATGGACGCTGTGAGATCCGGACCTCGGGGACAAATGTTCCGGCCAGACAACTTCGTGTTCGGTGAGATTCTTAACTACCTTGCTTGATATGCAGGAGGTCGTGAGTTTGATCCTGACCCTGATGATGCCTGTTGTATATTTGGAGTTTGCATCTCTCCCTCTCTCCATGGTTCCGTGGATTTTCTCCGGGTCCTGCTGTTTTCCTTCCACATTTAGAATCAACATCATGCGTTTAGAATATTTGGCTGCTATAAATTTCCACATAAGCTGCTTCGTTGAGCTATAATTTGTGATAGCCAGGTCCCTTCTGAAAAGTATCTTTATAGCTCAGTGGGTCTTACCTAGTAAAATAAAAAAAATAGTTTATAGTTCAAAGCACAGTTTTGCTGGATAAAGGCTTCCCCATTCTTGTTGTTCAAGGGGATTGTTTGACCATACTTCACCGTGCCAGTCAGTGTAGGTTGGTTAAACATGCAACCACAATCTCTCGGCCACAATGCAACCCATCGGCAGGTCTGGGCATGTTTATTCTACTATTATTATTTTCGTTATGCAGGAAACCCTCAGCCAGAATTTTTTTTTTTAGGTATATATACACACTGCTCCCCTCACCTGAACTCCTGCCTCCCCCTCCTCCCCTGTCCCCGTGCATCCCAGGGCACACGGGTGCGGGTAACAACTGGGCCAAGGGCCACTACACGGAGGGAGCGGAGCTGGTGGACTCGGTGCTGGACGTGGTGCGCAAGGAGGCGGAGAGCTGCGACTGCCTGCAGGGCTTCCAGCTGACGCACTCGCTGGGCGGGGGCACCGGCTCGGGCATGGGCACCCTGCTCATCAGCAAGATCCGCGAGGAGTACCCCGACCGCATCATGAACACCTTCAGTGTGGTGCCCTCCCCCAAGGTAAGACGACTAGTACAATAGTACAAGTATTAGGACTATCGTACTATAGTACCGGTACTATAACCCTGACCGCATCATGAACACCTTCAGTGTGGTGTCCTCCAAGGTGAGGGGCACCAGGAGAGTAGATTCAGAGGGCCGCGGGTTCCAGAGGGCCGCGGGGCTAGCCATGATGACAACACTGGTAATCACCCCGGCCCCATGATGAACACGTTGAGTGTGGTGCTCTCAAGGTGAGGGGCACCAGGGGAATAGATGGAGGATGAGGAGACTACAGAAGTGGCCCTGATGCTCGACTTGACACGAGCACCAACACTGCCTCTCGCTCCTTGGCCGAGAGCTCCCGCATCCACAGACTTGTCCACCCACCCACCCACTCACCCGGACCCTCACCAAGCCCGCTCGCTCGTCCCCTCAATCTCCCACCCCATTCCCCCCCCGCGCAGGTCTCGGACACGGTGGTGGAGCCGTACAACGCGACGCTGTCGGTGCACCAGCTGGTGGAGAACACGGACGAGACGTACTGCATCGACAACGAGGCTCTCTACGACATCTGCTTCCGCACCCTCAAGCTCACGACGCCCACGTACGGCGACCTGAACCACCTGGTGTCGGCCACCATGAGCGGCGTCACCACCTGCCTGCGCTTCCCGGGCCAGCTCAACGCCGACCTGCGCAAGCTCGCCGTCAACATGGTGCCCTTCCCGCGCCTGCACTTCTTCATGCCGGGCTTCGCGCCGCTCACCAGCCGCGGCTCGCAGCAGTACCGCGCGCTCACCGTGCCCGAGCTCACCCAGCAGATGTTCGACGCCAAGAACATGATGGCGGCGTGCGACCCGCGGCACGGCCGCTACCTCACGGTGGCCGCCATCTTCCGCGGCCGCATGTCCATGAAGGAGGTGGACGAGCAGATGCTGAACGTGCAGAACAAGAACAGCAGCTACTTCGTCGAGTGGATCCCCAACAACGTGAAGACGGCCGTGTGCGACATCCCGCCCCGGGGCCTCAAGATGTCGGCCACCTTCATCGGCAACAGCACGGCCATCCAGGTGAGATGAGGGCAGGGAGGAGGGGGAAGGGAGATGAGGGGAGGGGGAAGGGAGATGAGGGGAGGGAGGAGGGAGATGAGGGGAGGGAGATGAGGGGAGGGAGATGAGGGGAGGGAGATGAGGGGGGGGGAGATGAGGGGGGGGGAGATGAGGGGGGGGGAGATGAGGGGGGGGGAGATGAGGGGGGGGGAGGGAGGGGGGGGGAGGGAGGGAGATGGGGGGAGGGAGATACGGGGGGGGGGAGAGAGGGAGGGAGATATGGGGGAGGGAGGGAGATATGGGGGGGGGAGGGAGGGAGATATGGGGGGGGGGAGGGAGGGAGATATGGGGGAGGGGGAGGGGTGGTGCAGTGCTGTCACTGTTGGGTTTGATTCGTGTATGGGGCGACATTCTGTGTGGAGTTGTTAAATTGTCTCCACGTTCTGCATGCGTTTCATCTTGGTTTCTTCCCAAATTGAAACGAGCGCAATGTAACTTATCGGCCAAACATCCCAGTGCTGGAGTATTCTCTGCGAATTACTCACTAGCTACATCACCTTCCTCTGAAAAGACTTGGCAGGGCCCCCCCTCTTGAGACTCGGTGATGCTATGCTGAGATGGATTTCCACTTGCAATGTGTCGCTGCCACAGGAGGATGCTGCTGCGTCTAAACTGGACCCAAAGAGTGACCAACGTAGAATAAGAAGGTTACACGTAGAAGAAGACGACCTGATGATGATGATGCAGGCAGTGATGAGAAGGAAACTGACACTATTTCGACACACACGGATGTAGTATGGACATCAAAAGGAGAATCACAAGTGTCCTGTTGTTCGGAAACATAGAAGGATCCGGATAGAGGAGAAGACCTAACAGACTAAGAATGGTTTGACGACGACATTAAGAGATCGGTTGCAGAAAGATGTGGTACTACTGACATTTTTCGGCATGACAAGACAGAGGAAAGTGGAAATAAATAACAAAATGTGCAGTGGACTTAGCAACTCTGGGCTATCTGTCCATGGATCGTGATGATGATGCACTACACTATACACTACACAATTATACACTATGATATATACTGCACTATCCACTACACTTCTATACAATACACTACTAGAATGGACACTACTTGAGCATATTGGCACTTCAAGACAGAGGAAAGTGGAAACGAATTATCAAATGTGCAGTGGGCACACCTACTACGGGTTATCTGCCCATAGATCTTGATGATATTGATGATCACCATGCCTCACTGCGTTTCCTCTTCGTGTCCCGCAAAGTCCCCGTGTCTGATTGTCTTCATGTCTCTCCCCGTGTCTCCCCGCATCTCCCCCCCCCCGCCCCCCACCCCCTTGCGTGTGCAGGAGCTGTTCAAGCGAATCTCCGAGCAGTTCACGGCCATGTTCCGCCGCAAGGCCTTCCTGCACTGGTACACGGGCGAGGGCATGGACGAGATGGAGTTCACCGAGGCGGAGAGCAACATGAACGACCTCGTCTCCGAGTACCAGCAGTACCAGGACGCCACGGCCGAGGAGGAGGGAGAGTTCGAGGAGGAGGGCGAGGAGGAGGCCGCCTGAGATGGGTGACGGCGACGACGCAGCCATGGCCAGCGCTCAACACCGCCCACATGGCTGCCAGCACTCGCACCTAGCATACGTACACACACCTAGCATACGTACACACACCTAGCATACGTACACACACCTAGCGTACGTACACACACCTAGCATACGTACACACACCTAGCATACGTACACACACCTAGCATACGTACACACACCTAGCATACGTACACACACCTAGCATACGTACACACACCTAGCGTACATACACACACCTAGCATACGTACACACACCTAGCATACATACACACACCTAGCGTACGTACACACACCTAGCGTACGTACACGCACCTAGCATACGTACACGCACCTAGCATACGTACACGCACCTAGCATACGTACACGCACCTAGCATACGTACACGCACCTAGCATACGTACACGCACCTAGCATACGTACACACACCTAGCATACGTACACACACCTAGCATACGTACACACACCTAGCATACGTACACACACCTAGCATACGTACACACGGCTGGCATACGTACACACACCTAGCGTACGTACACACACCTAGCATACGTACACACACCTAGCATACGTACACACACCTAGCATACGTACACACACCTAGCATACGTACACACACCTAGCATACGTACACACACCTAGCATACGTACACACACCTAGCATACGTACACACACCTAGCATACGTACACACACCTAGCATACGTACACACCTCGCATACGTACACACGGCTGGCATACGTACACACACCTAGCGTACGTACACACACCTAGCGTACGTACACACACCTAGCGTACGTACACACACCTAGCGTACGTACACACACCTAGCGTACGTACACACACCTAGCATACGTACACACACCTAGCATACGTACACACACCTAGCATACGTACACACACCTAGCATACGTACACACACCTAGCATACGTACACACACCTAGCATACGTACACACACCTAGCATACGTACACACACCTAGCATACGTACACACACCTGGCATACGTACACACGGCTGGCATACGTACACACGGCTAGCATACGTACACACCTAGCATACGTACACACCTAGCATACGTACACACCTAGCATACGTACACACCTAGCATACGTACACACCTAGCATATATACACACACCTAGCATACGTACATACCTAGCATACGTACACACACCTAGCATACGTACACACACCTAGCATACGTACGCACGGTTGGCATATGTGCACACATGTATGTCTGTTAAACTTATTTCGCACTGTACGTAGCCAACCACTCTTAATTGGAGGTGCGTGGGAGGACAAAAACTAAACACAAAAAGCAATTCTAAAGACATGAGTTTAACACGTCGGCTTTCGCGACCAATATCATCCATAATATAGCTTTTTTAGGGTTAGGTCGCGTAAAAATGTGTGGTTAAACCCGCCACGGCAGAAATGAGTTTGAAATCTATACACACCTGCATTGGCCTCCGGTTGCCGAACGAATACATTATAAGGTCACACTCATTACACAAAAAGTGCTTGCCACAAATGAACCACAATAGCTCGCCGACCTTGTCAAGGAGCATGAACCATCGCGCAAACTCCGGTCACCCTCACAGGGGCTTTTGGCTAACCATGGAACAAAGATGGTCACCGCATCGTGTGCTTTCAAAAGCGCTTCAACGGCCGTCTGGAACACTCTTCTTTACGGTATTAGGAAGCCACTGGAGCTATGCACTTTCAAAACATTTATTTAGAACTGCTTTTTGTCTTTAGTTTGTTGTCCTTCCCCAGCAACCTCTGATTATCACAGTTGGCTACATACGGTGCATACACACACATACCGTACCGCAGTAGGCCACTATAAGATCTGTCGTCCAGATGATAACCCAATTCATTCGGTTCATTTCGTGTTTTTATGCCCCACATATATATACGTAGACGCGCATATTCTCTGCCACACTCATTGTTATCATGAAAACACTTGTTTACCCAGGAAAAACCTCACTGTCTTGACTCCTTTTCCAGAGGGCCCTGCCAAGTTGGCATCATAATGTTAGGGTACACTTCCCCCCCCCGTGCACACGCCTCGCACATTCACCCACCCAGACTCGCCAAACTTACCTCACTCGCTCGCTCCGTCTGTCAACTCAATAGTCCGTTCGTTGATGAGCGCTCGTTACACCAGTACTCTGTCGCAGCTCGGCTCGGGCTTAACTGTGGGGGGGGGCTTCGTGGTTTCTCCCCCCCCCCACCACCATGAAAGTGACTTTTGGAAGAAAAAAAAATCAATTAAACTTTTGCATAATTTCACTACATTTTATTTTGTTTGTGTGAGGATGTGGAGTGTGGGGGAGTGTGTGTGTGTGTGCAGTTGCAGCGGTTGGCACGCTCCGCTACGGACACCCGCGACTCCAGTTCAATTCCCGCTCACGGCCAACCCCAGTGACGATTATCTGAATTGATCCTGGGCCTGACGTAGGTCGACTCGGCCTCAAATTCGTACCTAGTGCAGTGTGTCGTGAACGCCGCCACTTGAGAGACAAAGGCAGCCGGGCGTGGTGCTGGCCACCCAACCCCTCGTGTGCTGTTTTGGACTTCATAAGTGCTTGCTAACAGCACCTGCCCCAACAGTCTTAAGGCAGTACGGGGGATCTTTGTATGCGTGGGTGTATTTGCATGCACAGATACCACCATATTGTGTGCAATTGTTATTTTCCTTGGAAAGCTTTTTCCGGAGCCGCAACTTTTTTTTAAAGGGTGCTGCCAAGGTATTTGCAGGAGAGGTGATGCTGCTGCTGCTGCGTGTGATCCCAATTGATGCATTTGAAGGTACATTTTCAGCACTGGGATGTTTTGACCAATGCCAATGACAGTGTGTGGGCAACTGGCATTGTGGCTGTTAGCGCGTTGAACTACCAACCCAGCGACCCGAGTTCGATTCCTGCTCACGGCCAATACCAGCGACGATTGTCTGAACCGGTCCTTGGCCTCCCCTCAACTCGGCCTCAAATGAGTACCTGGTGTGCCGGCCTTCATTGGTGCTGCTCATGGACAGCACTCGCACATTCACTCACCCAGACTCGCCCAACTTGCCTCACTCGCTCTTAAGGCTATATGGGGGGGAATCCTTGTCTTTGTATAGCGATTGGAGGAAACTCATGCAGAACAGGGGGTGAACATACGTGGAGTCCCAAGACCATCTTGCCTGCGAGTGTTGCAACTGTGGCCACCCTACCTCCGACATCACGATGCGGCACTCCGCAATGACACATTCTGCTGGGGTGATTTTTTTCCTCTTGACTCCTACCTCTACTACATTACTATACACTACACTACTATTTTCTTTGGGTCTTTCGGTAAAGCCACGTAGATAGAAAAAAATATAATAAAAAATCACAATATCCCGACGTTTCGATCGCAACACAAGTGATCGAAACGCGATATTGTTATTTTTTTATCTACGTGGCTTTACCGAAAGACCCAAAGAATATTAATTCCTGCAGTCACGAAAGCTTTAAGTCAAGATTTATCCACTACTACACTATAAACTACACTACTGTATACTATACACTACTATACACTACTATATATATTTAGTGAATCGAATTTAGGCGCACACAACTTCTTAGGAGGCAACACTTATTTATTAATGAACACAACGGTTAACTCTTACATTACGCATAGGGTGGTGACCACCGACTTACTCGAGCTAACACACACTTCTCAGATACTCTAGCATGACCCTGCCAGGTGGGCTACTGGCAGATCTGCTGACTGGAGGCTTGACTCTTCTTGGCGTCTTCACGATGCATCTTCATTCTTGATACGGGCAGCCTCGAACCTCGTGAGGTGGCTGCTTATATGGGCCTCGGCGTGCCCGGGCCCCTCCCCAGCCATTCTTTCCTTCAAGAGCCCTCTTGAAGCGATACACATATGTACACACACCGAGAGGGGGGAAGGGAAAAACGTATGGAACGAGGGAAACCAACATCACTGTCATCATAGTGATGACATAATCTTGCCCTATTTAAGACCGCACGCAGGAAGACTTCTTCACAAATTCTGGCAAATCGCCTGATGAAGCTTGTATTCACCAGCGAAATATCACGGTACTCAAGTGTAAATGCTGTGGGTTTCCTCTCCAACACACCGGTGTGCTGAAGTAGTAACTAATTGGCACGTTTTGTTTACGTGACAAACCTTACTGATTGGCTGTGTCGGGTGGTGGCAGGTTAACGACACATTTATACTTACGCGATCTAATGCAAAAACGCGTATTATTTATGTTGAACTTCTTTTGCACCGTATGTAGCCAGCCGTACAAATTGGAAATACTATGACGTGTGTACATATGTTGAACTTCTTTCGCACTGTATGTAGTCAACCATGCTAATCAGAGATATTGTGAAGTGTGTACGCATGTTGAACTTCTTTGGTACCGTACGTAGACCAACCATAGCTAATCGGAGTTTTGGGGGAAGGACAACAACACTAAACACTGCAATAGTTGTCTATTAAAAGTACTATTTTCCCTTTATATTCACCTCCAAGAGAACTCTAGTTTACTCTTCGTGGCAGGGAATGTCTTCCATCAGCTGGGGACATCCCAACATTGCTTTACCCCGACCCATGCGCAAACCCCGATTATTGTTGGAAAGGTGACCCATGATGTCAAGTGGACGTCGGCTATTCACAGCTATAGGTGGCGACTTCGTGTTTGGTGGGCTCAACGAGGATGGCGAAACTATGGGGGGGGGGGGAGGGGCGGGGGGGGTATGTGGCGGCATTATGTGACGCAGAGGGGGGGCCCAGTCGGCCACCATGGGGCCCCCCTGAATCAACAAGATAAAACATTTTTTAATAAAAAATATTTTTGACCAAAACAAGAGGAAGATTTCTCAACGATTCTGGCTGTCGCCTGATGAGGCTGGTTGTTGTAATTACTGGCGAAACATCACGGTACTTGCATTGTAAATGTAGTAGTGGGTTTACTCTCCAACACAAATGTTCAGTGCTGTACTAGTGCTGTATCAACAATTCAGAGACAGAGTTTCTAGGAGGCACTTTATTAACAACGTTCACACTCTCGTCCGCACACTTTCCACAGCACAGCCTAGCC